GAGGAAAAATCCCGTAGGTTACAAAAAGCAAAATTGACTATGCGAAATCAGGAGACAAAAACTAGCTGAAAACATCCATCCATCAGATCCGCTTATCCTCACAAGGGTCGCGGCGGGTGCTGGATCCTATCCCAGCTGTCTTCGGGAAGTAGGCAGGGGACACCCTGAACCGGTTGCCAGCCAATCGCAAGGCACGCAGAGACCAACAACCATCCGCGCTCACACTCCGAACTACAAACAACTCAGCCTTCAATGAAGAAATGTCAGTCAGACGTGCCAATCATTGTTTCATCGTGCTGTCCCGTCTACTTCACATAACAAAAAGCAACAATCCTAATCAAAAGCGCGGTGTCACTTTACGCCAGACGCAATCGCGCCGTCCCCTCCGCGAGTAAACCGAGTAAACAATGTGTGATAGCCCCCCTGTGTGGAGGCGCGGGAGGCCCCGCCATCACCCCCGCCGCCGCTGTGAATGGCACGCTGCTTTTCCCACACTTTCATACCGTCTACGGCGAGCCCCTTGGCGGAGGCCGAGCGCCCCCCTCGTCGAGCCGCCACAATGACGCTTCCCTGAATGGAGGAGCGTCCATGAAAATAAAGAGGCGCAAAGGAGGTGTCTGTCACCGGGATGCTCAGGCGGACTGTGAATCAGCGTTTCCAGACCACCGGACCAGCGCCAGTCCGTGGGCCATTTCGTAATGGGGCCACAAACTAGGCTAAAGTTGTTTTGCTGGGCATCGGTCGGAAAGGAGTTTTATTTTGAAAAATCAGGTGCGTCCGCCAGTGCCGTTTTACTTGGGTCGCAATGGGGGTGGGAAATTTCCATGGGAGGTTATGATGGAGAATTTGGAAAATACTACAAATTTACAAACCTTTCATGTAAATGATGGGAATTAAATGAAAATTGTGGATATTGTTTTGTCATGAGCAGACATCTGTGCAAAACACACAACTCTCCTTGTCCACGTGTGGGGGCATTACAGTATAGCTAAACGGACAATTTTTTTTTCACTGCACTACATCCGCAACATACAACATAGTCACTCAAAAAGTGGCATTTGTAAATAAAGGTACCACCATAACTTACCTAAAATATTTTTTTTTTTGGTCAGGAGTATGCTGAAATCTATTTTTCACCTATATCTATATTAAAAGCCAACCTCACATTTTCTAAATTCCCGCAATTTCGCAGCCACACTCTCCTCACATGTCAAAGTGCTCATCTTAGTCACATGGTGTGCTCATAAAATGTTAGCTCACACCACAAGCTAGCAATCACAGCCAAAAGACAAACGTGTCTGGAGAGCTTCTTCAAAAAGGGTGACGGCCAATTGATGAGACAGAAGAACTTCCAAGAAATACAAAGCTGTATTGAAAAGACAACGTCAGCAATCCTGCCCCCCCCAACCCCCCCAAAAAAGCCCGTTTTGCGTAATATGTATCGACGTGCTTGCAAATGAGGCAATGGAGCCCTCAAAACTTGCTTCCTTTTCCAAATTCCTTTCTTTGTGAAGTTGGACTTTCAGCAATAATAGTGACCAAAACAAAATTCCAGAGTAGACAAAACATTAAGTAACACACTTTGTGTGTCATCATCTCTGATTAGCCCAAGATGGTACCCGTTTGTTGAATCGAAAACAAGTGCAGGGCTCCGACTCATGACAACTACATTCAGCATGATGGTGAGTTGAATTTAATTCATTGTTTTTTATTTGTTGCTGTCAGTCAATTAGAATATGGAATGGCGTGAAAAAGGTCGGTGGTGCAAGAAGCGCTGGGGAGCGCTGCTGTAAATGATCCACCGTGTCTAATTGTAATGGAGTCTCTGGCTCACCGTGCACCGTAGTAACCTCTTAAGACGGCAGAGACGTGTCGAGCACAACTGGACCATTTTATGAATGATGTCAACGCCGCCGTAAAGTGACACCGATCTGACCCCAGCGAGATTCTTCATGACATCAAAGTACGAACCCCCAAATGATTTATAGACTCTGTGACACAAAATGGCCAAGGTAGCTAACATCAAATTAGCAGCATGTTCCTTTTCAACTCTCTACGATTTCATATTCAACAATCCTCCCTTCATTTTAACAGAATCCACGACGCAATATGAGAACTTGAGCACATTTATTTGAATCAGTGGTTATCCAGCGTAACAATGTGCGCTTTATCACGAGGCCGCTTTTTTTACTAGCATGCCGGTATCGAGATAGCTACGCCTGCACCTTGAAAATGCATCTTGCCACAAGTTCCAGAACAACTCGGTGTCGTTGTTGAAATCCTCAAGTGAGGAAGTGATGCCGCAGACGAACCCGCGGCCCGTCTTTTGGCTGAGTGAAGCGCCGGAAGACTGTTAGCTCGCAAGCTAGCTAGTGGCTAGCGCCTCCAATTGCGAAAAAGCCCCGTGATGACAGTGGTATATCTTCTAGCCACCGGAGGCTTTAAGTGGATATATTTTTGTGGCTCAAATGTAAGGATGTGTAGACGTTAGCAAAATGCTCTCTAGACCAAGTCACATCCCTTTTTCAGTGGGTCGTGGTTCCACACATTCAGCTGACACACTCACACAAAAGCTCATTCACACCGAAGTGGCCATGGGAGAGGTAGGCCAGTCTTGCCGCCACGAAGCAAAGATCCCGGTTGGTCTAAAAGAGCATCGTCGACACGATTCTGAACGCTTCGCTTTCTTCCTTTTAGTCACTGTTATGATGTGATTAGATTACATAACCCCATTGATTACCCTCCCATGACGAATTCAATTCAAGACGTTGGAGCTGCCGCTGGGGGTCAAAGTTCATGTCGATGCGTGCGGCTCGATGACTCACTCTGCACACTCGGCAGGTGTGAGGCAACGCGGTGGGAACGGCAGAGTAAATGAAGACTGGACTTACAAAAACAACAACCCCGTCACGAGGTAACATAACAAAAACAAAATATGGCAGCAATATCTGCTGCTCGCCCATTGGATGATCGCAGAGGTGGCTTCGCAGATTGAATTCCCACACATTACTCACAAGCCAGATAGAACTAAACCGACATTTTTTTTAAACCCTACTTTTTTAGAATTTGATTTTCAAGGATTTTTTTTTCTCCATCGTTTGGTTTTGGTGTTTGTACAGAAATTAATTCCTTTAACGTTTTTTTTTGTTATTATTATGATTATCTGTAATATATTTTGAAAAGCACCTCCCTGGTCGTGATGTTATTTGTACAATCACCATTTTTTTTTTAAAAAAAAATGTTATTTTTCCTTTTGAGTGCACCTGGAAATTTCCTTTTTAGGTTTTGGCCACAGCGAGCAAGGTTTTTTTTTTTTTTTTTTCTATTGGCCTAATCTGATTGACGGGACGCAATCCGACAGCCCTTCATTAGTCGGGAGCTTTTGTAAACAGCCAGGTCAAACGGATGAATGGCGAACAGCATGTGTGTGTGCACGCTGCTGAATTCCGCCTCATTAATGACGCGCAGGGGTCACCTCGGCGCGTTTCAAAATCCGCCAAGGTCTGGGGGTGGGAGGCACGGCTGTGATGAATCGCAGATGAATCTCTCGCCATCAATTTATCGCCAGACACCATTCAAGCCGTTCCAAAAGCGGATGCCGGTCACGCCACATCGAAGAGCGTCCCGGCCAAGACCTCGCCGCCTCCCTCCTGGGCCGTCCTCAGCATCCCATGAAGTCTGAACTCACGGGTTCCTTTTCATCCGCCTTCATTCACTTTGCGTGAATTAGTCGAGACGAGAATCACGTGTTGCCATCGCGCGACGCTACGACGCGGGGCCCCAGTCGAGTCACCGGACTTTGTAAATCAAAGGGAGCCGGGACAAGTCAGATGACTGTCATGGATGAAGGAGGGCAATGACAAAACAACTTGAAAAGTCAAACGCAACTGAAGGACGTGGATTTTGCTTTTCTTTGCCCTCTCCTAAAACTGCTGGGTTAAAAGTAACCCCCTTTGGGTGGAATAGCTAACCCAGCGCTGGGTCCAAACTGGACCAATCCAATAATGGGTTATCGATACCAGCATGTTGAGTCAAATTTTTGATACAAGGGGTGAAAACGACCTAAACTGAGGGGTTAAGGCTACCGAAAAATGGGTTACCAGGTGTTCAGTGTAGTTGCAGGTACATGGGCCGCGACTAACGCTTATTTGTTGAATCAATTGATATGTCGATTATTACATCGATTAATCGATGAGTAACCTCATAAAAACATCTTTGACATTGCAACCCTTTCTTGAAAAGTAGGACATTGTTTTAAATTGGCAGTGCAGAAAATGCACAAATGTGCATTCATTAAGATTTGGGTTTGGTGCGTAAGGTCAGTCAGAAACTTGGCAAAAAAGGTTGATTCTAGTTTTCCAAAGTGAAAGCGAGGTTGGAAATGGTTGCAAATGTCTTATTTTGAAAAAGCACAAAAATAATCAGTCTGCTTTTATGGAAGACAACAAAAATCTGAGAGGGGATGACTTTGCGAGAATTTGGACAATTTTAAGCTGAACAAACTCGTGGTACGGGAAAGAATCACTTCATGAAATGTGCAAATTACGCATCATATTATCGTGGCTTCAACCTTTTTTTTCTTTTAGTTGAGGACATTTGTTGATTACAGGACAGTTTAGTTGTATTTAACTTTGGAGGGGAATCCATTCGCAACTAACCTTTCCAAACTGTTTTCAAATGTTTATTTAGGTACAAGATTGGTGAACTTTAATGGACAATGAGTCATTATTTAAGAACAATGTTTCGGTTTCCTACATAAAAGTGCATTGTTCAAACTATACATTCTAATGAGTAACTAAAAATAGATATACTTTTTACTTTTGCATGTTTACGCTGTTGATTATGATGGCACTTTGTAGAGCGAAGATGTTTTTAATGCACTTGCTGTAAAAAAAAAAAAAAAAAATTTAAAAAAACCTTGGGGAACCACAGTGAAAACCACTTTTCCACTTGTCCATCACACTCAAACAACAACGACAACGACGACAAGGACAACTTACCTTCCACCCGGCAGAACTGTTGCTATCGCCCTTATCTTTGAAATAAGGCACACTCTTCACCATCCAGTCGTAGATCTGAGACAGGGTGAGTCTGTTCTCCGGGGAGCTCTCGATGGCTTTGGTGATGAGGTCCGCGTACGACATATTCCCCCAGGCGTTGCGCCGGGACGAGCTGCTCTTCCTCTGGGCAGCGACGGCGGCGGCGGCGGCTGCGGCGGCCGACGACGGCGAGGTGGCCACCGGGGAAGAGAGCAGGGGCACCTGCTGCTGCGGCTGCTGCGGATGGGGATGCTGCTGGAGCGCGGGGTTGGGGTGATGCTGATGCTGCGGCCGGGGGGTGGGATGTTGGTGGACGCACGTCTCCTGACACTGGAAGTCGGCGCACAGGTCCTCGTTCTCCTCCAGTAGGCTGAGGTTGCTGATGTACTCGTTGCCGGCGGGCTCCTGCTTGATGGACGGCACCGGCGACGAGGTGTTGGAGTCGCCCGGGGTGACGAACTCCGGCCGGGGCAAGGGCCAAGTACACGAGCGGGGTCTGGCCAGCGGCTCGAAGTCCGGGTCTATGTCCACCAGGTGTGGCTGTTGCTGCTGCTGGGCCGCTTCCGCCATGGTGGTCGAAAGGGTGATGGGATGGGGTCTTACCCCCTCGATGATGGTGACAGTGGCAAAATAAAAAAGAATTCAACCAAAATAAAAACGCGAGATAAACGTCCGGGAAACGCGGGAGCTCCGGAGAAAGTCACTTAACTTTAGAAGTTACATCCCATGACAGTTGAACGAAATCAAAAGGCGGAAAAAAAAGTGTCCAAAGAGCGTGGAGGCATAAAAAAAAAAAAAAGACGAGCGTGAAAGTGCGCAGCGTCCTGGCGCGTCAATGTTCGTCGCGGCAAGTTGACTCTGCGCGCTGTGCAGCATGTGAGCACTTTTACTGGAAGTGGCGTTTGGCACATGGCCACGCCCATCCTTGATTGACAGCCGCGGCGCGCCAATCAATGACATCCAAGGGCTTTTCACGGGGAGGGCCCAAAAACAAAAAAGGAAAAGAGAACCTGTTTTCATTCTTTGGCCTCGTAAACATGAAAGGGCATCCAAAGGTTGTTCCCAACAATGAATTCCTGTCGTGTTTACATATTTCAATGGCAACCTTTATGGTCAAAAACTTTTCAAAAGCCTTTTGTCACATCTGTATTCCTTCCAGCCTAAATTGAGCTCAGGTACATATTAGGCATTTGATAGGAAAAAACAAAAAACAAAGAAAAAACCCAACAACAAAGCACAGCACCGAACAAAATGTCACAAAAAGTAGATGTCACTTGTTAGTACCTATTCCCATCGAATGTCAGATCATTGGTCGGCTTGTCACGAAAGTCATTGCGAGCTACACAAAACCAGATTATTTGAAGCAAAGAATTAATTTTTTGGACTAATGAAGTGACATTTGATCATTTCCCACACGGCATAACTTGTTAACCTGTGCAACAGAAAAGTCGAGTTCATTAGCCTGCCCCTCAATGAACATGTTCTTTTTCCATGTCTATTGTTTTATTTATTTGCCTGTTGCAAAGTACATTTTGAACAATTTACCTCAAGTAACATCTTTTTTTTTTTGGTCTTTCTGATACTTTACACTTCAAACTAAGAAAGAAGAAAGTTAAAATCATAATTTTAACCATTTAGCCTGCTTCTTCAGTTCCTTGTCTTATTTTTGGTAGTGGTACTCCACTCGCCAAAATGACAAAATCAAAGTCCTGAAACTGTTTTGGTTTTTACGTGGTCTACTAGTGTCACAGGAAATGAAATACAGAGACACAAATAGTAATTAACCACATTTGACAATTTAGTTGACTTGGCGACATTTTTTACGTTCCCCGCCATCACCGCTAGCTCTGATGCTAGCTTAAAATATGTTACATGTTCATCATGTATTCTGAATGGATGGCGAAAGTAGTCACATTCTTGATCAATAATTTTGAGTGGCAGCGGAAAAGCTTTTTGCACCTGATGACGTAGAAGGGCTGTCCTAGTTTTACACACGAATTTGAAATTTCTCAAACATATGTTCTACGACTCGGACATTTTTTCAAATTTGTAATTGACAAAAACCTCAGGATCCCCCCCCCCCCCAATCCATATGTGTATATATCTTCATTAAATATAGTTTTGTCCTTTTGCCAAATTTGATGTAAAGTGGTCATCACATTTTTGGACCTGCCATTAGCAAGTTTTCTCGTGATGTTACGCCAATTCTGCATGATGCTTCATGCATGATGCAACCACAAACGCCTCTGGATTGCGCAACATTTATTCATGACTATTTATTTGAACAATTTTACAGAATGTATGTTCATTGTCGACTTTTAATTTTTCTTCGACATGTTTGACTGCCAAATCCAACCACACATCACCTGACCGCCCACCATCTGGAAACTCTGTTGGGCTCTTGACCCATTATTTTTGCAAACCTGAACCCTTGGTTTCCTGTACCTATTTTCAGTTTATCCGTTCATCATTATTCACGTGTCATGTCCTCGGGTTGAAATGTTGGTCCTGGTAAAAAGCAACAAGTCTGGTGGCTCGTCACCTGACTTGTGGACTCTTCAAAACGTTCACTGCGAAGGACTCTACTGCCGTTTAGTGGCGTTTAGGCGTTATGACACCCAAATGCACCATCTCTGGCGTCTCTTCCGCATTGCAAATTCAGTGTCAAAAAAATCCCCACATTTGTCTGTGTGTGTGTGTGTGAAGGATGTCAGTTCGTCAAAAAAATCCCCACATTTGTCTGTGTGTGTGTGAAGGATGTCAGTTTCTTATAAATTCATAATATTTCACAGACATTAAGTCGTTTTTGTTTTTTTTAAATAAGGAGGGACGTTACTTCAGCTTCAGCGTCTGGCGCTTTTTATTTTCTGGAATTTTCAGCTTCGCCCTCGGCTTTGCACGCATCCAAACTGAACTGACGACTTTGCTTAACTCGCGCCTCCATGCAACAACTTCCTGCAGGGGAGTCATTACTTTTAGTTGGCTGGGAGTGGCCGTGTCTACCAGACACTTTGGATACTCATACGGGTGAGTTGAGCAGGAAGTGAAAGCTTTAGAACTGAATTTATCTACAAGGTTACTGCACGCTTACTTTGTTTGCTTTTTACATGGATAGATAGATAAATAGATAGATGGATGGATGCATAAATAGAGAGAGAGAGAGGTTGATAAAAGCACCAAAATTACATTTGACCTTTTGCAGGGTTTCCAGCACATGCTGATGCAACATGGCTCCACATCCCATTCTCCAGGCCATCATTGACTTCACAGCAGGAGCAGCAGGCAAGTTCACGTCAAAACAGAAATCCCCCAAATATTTGCAACACACTTGGATTGTCTCCTGTTCCCAATGCGTGTAGTGGCACTTCGACACGTCGCATTCCCGCTCGCCGCTGCCCCGTTCTTGGCAAGGCTGAATGGAAACGAATAGAATTGCTCATTATGCCGAAGCGCAGTTCAGATGACGGCGAGCCAACGCTATCCCATGACTCAGTGAATTGCGCAAGGATTAAAGAGCAGCACACCTGTCATATTTCAGAGAATATCATGAGGTCATGAGTTGTGGCTCATGTGAGCCAAAGCTCCTCACAAATACTGCAGTCCTTTGACTTGTTCGTTTAATCCATTCCGTTACCAAGCTTGCAATTAAATTTACTCATGTTTAAAAAAAGCTCATTTTCACCATTCAACTCAATTAAAATGTCATTAATCCATTAATCCGACTCCCGCCAAGAGCACTTAAAAAAAAAAAAAAAACTTTAAAATGAGATACCATTGCACTGCAGAACAATAACAATACAATAATACATAATAAAAGAGAATGTAAAGTGGAATTACTGTTTGTGCCGCAATATTTGTCTCCTGGATGTATGGCCTTTGAGGGGTGGGCCCAGGTGAGTGACGGCAGCAGCAGTCAGTTAAAGTGCGTGTAGGCACCTCAGTGTGAGATGTGGCTGAAAGTATTTGCGTGTTTGACGGTTTGTCAACTGCGGCTCTCCTTGCCCACATGTGAGTTCATGACCTTACCATAATATCTCCCTTTATAAATCACTTCACTTGGGCGATGGCACTTCTGAATGGGAAAAGTAGTCTAAGTGATGGCTCAAAACCTAAAAGAGAGAAAAAAAAAATCGTAATTTAGTGCACTCAAGGTAACACCCTTCAAAGCCAAATGCATGTGTGTATAAAAAAAGTTTTCAGAACTATCGTCTGACCAAATGCAAACCCCAATTCAAGTGAAGGTGGGACATTGTATGAAAGGAAAATCAAAACAGAATCCAATGATTTTACAATGATAATCTGTTACCATAGCGCGGCTTCTTCGCAAAGGAGTACTAGACTGGCCTGCCAGCTGTCCAGACCTTCCTCCCAATGAAAATGCACAGCGCACGATGAAGTGCAAAATATAACAACGCAGACACCCCAACTTCATTGGAATTGGGGTTTGTATAAAAATGCGATGCACCCAAACACTAACGACATCTTTGAATGCTCACGTTGTATTTGCGGCGTCACAGGCGGCACAGCTTGCGTTCTCAGCGGTCAGCCACTGGACACCACCAAGGTGAAGATGCAGACATTTCCCACCATGTACCGAGGGTTCACTCACTGCTTGGTGTCCACCTTCAGACAAGTAGGGGTGCGCGGACTCTACAAGGGCACCACCCCGGCTCTGGTAGCCAACATCTGCGAGAACTCGGTGCTCTTTGTGAGCTACGGGTTCTGCCAGGACCTGGTCCGCTCCTTGGCCAGCGTAGATGAACTCAGGTGCGGCTTTTACTCTACATTTGTCAAGCTTATTTCCGGGCCGCAACACAAGGAGTGTACTGTATTCGGATTTTTGTACATTTTGTAGTTATGTAAATTTTGTGGCAACGAGATCATCTGCAAACCAGTTGGCGGGTGATGGAGGTTGGTTGTGAGGTAGCAAAGTAGGTACTATGCAGGCACAAGGTGTTTCATGTTTTAAGTAGGTTGTTTCGGTAGGTAGGTTAGTTGGATATTGGATCAGTAGAGCAGATCTTTCGGTTGATCTGTAGTTCTACACGTTCATAGGCAGTGAAGTCATCCACAAACTCGTTCGTGTGTGGAGTAGGTTGGCTGCTAGGTAGCAAGGTATGTAGGTAGGTTGCTTAGTAGCTTTGTTGGTAGGTTGTTCAACCTGTTGTTTGGTAGGTAGCGCAGTTGGATGCTACAAGGCAGTCGATGTTGGTGGGTCGGTTGTTTTGGTACGTCGCGACGTTGGTGAATTGGATCCTTGGTGGGTAGATTCTACAGTTAGCCAGGAAAGCTACCGGTAGGTCGTAAATTGACAAACTGGTAAGCTGGTAGGTCGGCAGGTCAATAGCTTGGTCGATAGCTTGGGAAACCGCTAGCTAAGTAGGTAGCCAGGGGGGGATTTTGAACAGGTATGCTTCGGTTGATCCGTAGATACATAGTTTCAACGGCAGAGATGGCGTTCCTTTGTTTGTTGGTGGTCAGTTGGTGGGTACTTGGATATTTTGGTTAACTCGAGGTTGGTTGGTCAGTGATGTGATTGATAGGTTGGTCGATAGCAAGTCGCTATTCTTAGTTGTTTGGTTGACCTTGTACCATGTCCGGGTTGGTCGGGAGGCAGCAAACTAGGTTGTTGGTAAGTCAATCATTTGGTAGCTCGGTTGGCAGGACGATATCCGAATTCCATTCGAGCTCGATAAAGTATCCGCACCAGCTACAGTAGGTCGGTCAGTTACGAGACGAGGTATGTGGCTACTTTTGCCGTCCCAAATGTGTCATTGAACTGACTCCTTTGAACCGAGCAGCGATGTTCAGAAGGCCTTCTCCGGGTCCCTGGCCTCCATCTTCTCGTCCCTGGTGCTTTGCCCTACCGAGCTGGTCAAATGTCGCCTGCAGGCCATGTACGAGATGGAAGCCTCCGGCAAGATCGCCACCGGGCAGAAAAGGTTTGCGTCGCGGGTGGCGGGCATCTGAAAGTTGTTCGGTTCCTGTCCCGACTGGAAGCGTTGCCTTTTTTGTGACGACCTGTTCACAGAGTTTGGACGGTGGTGAAGTCGGTGATGGAGACAAACGGTCCACTGGGCTTCTACCAAGGTCTGACGTCCACCATGGTGAGGGAGTTTCCAGGCTACTTCTGCTTCTTTGGCGGCTACGAACTCAGCCGCTCCACCTTTGCGCGCTACATGGGTACCGACAAGGAGGGCATCGGTCGGTTACACCGCAACACACGTCTCTGAATTGACTTGTTTTGGGTCACCTGCTTCGGAAGCTCAGCCGCGAGACCTTTTGCAGGCATTCTTCCGCTCATGTTCAGCGGCGGATTCGGCGGCGCTTGCCTTTGGCTCTTGATCTATCCGATCGACTGTGTGAAGTCCAGGATCCAGGTGTACTCCTTAGCCGGGAGGCAAGAAGGCTTCCTGAAGACCTTCACGGGGATCCTACGCAACGAGGGTAAGGTTCGAAACGAGTCTTTTGGGGGCACGGCGTGGCATCAGCTTTCTGCAAATGAGGTGTCTTGTGTCTCGCAGGATTCAGGGCTCTTTACTCGGGTCTCGCGCCCACCATGATACGCACCTTCCCGGCCAACGGTGCCCTCTTCTTGGCCTACGAGTTCACTCGAAAGTTCATGATGGAGGCAGTGGGCGCCTGATGTCCGCTGCGGTTTTATTGTCAACCTTTTTCGCCGACAGAACAAGTTTTGTCATGGTTTTAAGTTTGTTTCTGGTGTGCCTCCAAATGTCACGAAAAGGGTCTATTTGTTTCGGGTTTGATGTGATGCTTTTAAAAGTGCCAATACTGTGAAGAGCAAATGCGCACAGCATCTTTGAGTACGAATTCGCAGGAGCTTTTCAGAGTCAACATTTTTTAAAATTTATAATATTTGTTTGGTCATGATTTTGAATGAAATCCTGTCGAAAACGCCGCAACTGGTAAAATTCTGATCATGCTCCCCCAAGCTCTAGTAGCTTGACCAAAAATCTGCCTTGACAAACGGAATGTCGCTCGTATTTGAATGCAGCAATATTTGTTGTTGTGGCTGGAGTATGTTGTGATGTACAAATGTCATTCTGGGAGGTGAATGAGTGAGAGCTACCTCATTTAGTTGTGGCATTGTGGCGCTCAGCAATTTATACTGTGCAATATCTTTCCTGTTCCGCGCTATTTTTCAATGCCGGGTGTTGAAGTCAAATATTAATCAAAATGGCATTAAATAATGGAATCAAAAATTTCTCTTCCTTTTCATTGTGCGAAACACCTTCAGTCCAAAGAGTGCCGAAATAAAGTTCAGCTGTTCTAGTGGGCAGATCAGACTTTTGCAACAACCCCCTGTTTTTGTCTCTATTATAGGCACGATACACTGTAGTCTCTGTTGTAATTACGGACCGTATTTGTGGTCGTCCCTCAACCAGACGTCATGCTCCACATAGTTGTCATAGGGTTAAGACAAAATGTCTGTTTTGGCATCAGAGGACCAAAAACGAAAGTCACCGTCATTATCTGTTCACATGCGGATATTAAAGCCTTTAACTATTGAGCCCATTGTCAAACTCTGGTTAACCAATTTTATTTTATTTTTTTTCCATTAGAGTAGGCTAAGATTGTTCTCTTCACTTCAACATCCTTGGCACCAAAATACCTCAAGATGGCGCCAAAGCACTGCTTTAAAATTAGAAATGGCTTTGGCTTTTGCAAAAACAGTAATTAACCAAGAACAGGTTAAAAAAAAGAAAAAAAAAAGATGATTTGAATGAACAGTTGAGTATTCTTCTGCGGGTGTTTATTCACTGGATCGTGTCCGAAAGGCTCACGTTACCAGAGAGAGGCGAGCGCCCGTGCGCCTGCCCCGAGTGTCGAGTTGCACGTCACGCATTGATTATTCAGGACTAAGCAGGTGTCGCAGTCAAAGACGTGCCTCGTCGTCATGGAGCCGTTGGCACCCGCGAGGACGGGCCCCTCGTCGCCACAGGCCCTGCCCCGAAGGTACCGCACGCACGCACACCCACACAAAAGGTATCCCCACTCTCTGATGATCTCCACGACGTCCAGCACGGCCGACATGGTGACGCAGGGTAAACTTGAGATCAACTCCACGGACATTGTTGAAGGTGATGATTTGGGATTTTTTTGTCTTTTTTTGTCATTGTGAAATGACACTATTCGACTATTCGGACAATGCCGGCGCCGTTAGCGACGGTAGCTAAGCATTAGCGGTTACGTCAACATGGCAAAGGGCCTTTGTGTGTCAATAGAAGCCAGTCGGGTGTTTCCTTGTGTTCCTCCGCAGATAAAACCTCAACCCGGCTGGGATGCTTCGGCTGGATTTTGGTGATCATATCGCTCCTCTTCATCGGGGTCACCTTCCCGCTTACAATCTTTATGTGTGTCAAGGTATGCACCCTTGTTGCTCAATGTAAGGCAGTGGGGTCTCCAGTATTATGGTGGGGAGTGTGGGGGGGAGGGGGTCCCTTGGAAATATCACCTAAACTGATCCAACTCCTCCCGACATGCAGATAGTGAAAGAGTACGAACGAGCCGTCATCTTCAGGCTGGGTCGAATCATTGACAGGAAAGCCAAAGGCCCCGGTATGACACCGGAGTTCCGGAACGTTCCGCATGACAATCATGTGAGATGTCTTTGTTTTTCGTCGCAGGGCTTTTTTTTGTTATCCCCTGTACGGATAACTTTGTGAAAGTCGACCTGAGGACCGTGTCCTTTGACATCCCGCCTCAAGAGGTAACACAACTTGGAATGACGGAAGACTCGGATGTTACGAGGTTGATACGGTGTGGCTACGATACCGTGATACTCGCATCTGGCGGCACTGTGATATAGCGATACGATCATATCGGAATCGGCGATTACGGTGATGATGAAATACTACGATACTTGATTCTCCGACACTGTGATGATGCAAAACTGTTGTACGATAATCACCGATACAGCGAGGCTATGATGCTAAACTTCAGACTGTACCGTTCAAGAGGAGTAAGAGAACGCCGTTATTTCCTTGTCACAGCAAGAACCTCATTGATACATGACGGGTTTGTTTCTTTTCAAATGCAGCACCTTTTTGTTTTTGCCTGGGATTCGACAGATGGTTTAAGTACCATATCGCTCCAGGTTATTTTAGCCAATAAACGTTCAAGGCATTATTTCATTTGTTCAAGCATTTGTCGTCGTTACCCGGTTAGATCCTGACGAAGGACTCTGTGACGGTGTGCGTGGACGGCGTGGTCTACTTTCGCATCCAGTGTCCCATCTCGTCGGTGGCCAACGTGAGCAACGCGCATTCGTCCACACGCTTGCTGGCGCAGACCACCCTCAGGAACGTGCTGGGCACCAAGAACCTGGCCGAGCTGCTGTCCGACAGGGAGGGCATCTCGCTCAGCATGCAGGTTCTGTCGCAGAAACCGGCAAAAGTCAGACTTCAGCAAACAGTCAAACCAGCGGTTTTAAGACCCACCACTAAACTGAAGTCGAAAGAGTCGACGTGACAATTAATTACGCTCATCGATGAATAAATATCCGTAGATCAGCTCGTCTGTTTGATGTGACTGCTTTTTCTTTTTGATAAAAAGTAGTCGTCGTATTTAGTCGTTATTACTTAGCAATTGCGACGGTGTACTGACATGAACTCGGTTGTCAGGAATCCTTGGACGAAGCCACGGACGCGTGGGGCATCAAGGTGGAACGGGTGGAGATCAAAGACGTCAAGTTACCGCAACAGCTGCAGAGAGCCATGGCGGCCGAGGCGGAGGCCAGTCGGGAGGCCCGGGCCAAGGTGGGCGAGAAGCCCCGCGTCGCTCTTTCTTTCCGTTTGCAACTGGCCAACGAAAGGGATGCATTATTTGTTTTGATTTTTTTTTTTTTTTTTTTTTATCGTAACAGAAAATAAATGACTTGATTCTAGGTTCTAAAATACAGTAGGCTACATTAGCTTGCTAGCCGTCAAAATCACTCCAAACCCTGATTATGGTCCATCAAACAATCCATCTGGCACATTATGACAAGGGCAAAGGCCTTCTTAGAATTGTCTTCATTCACACTAAAATGATCTGCCAACTCTTTTTATTTTTTGACTCATGAGTTCTGTTAGCGTTTAGTGCCCATATTAGCATTTAGCGGTAGAGAGGGCTGCTTCAGTCTTGTCGCAAGTAACACCCAAAAGGTTTGAAATTGGCAATAGATGCCACGAAAATGCAGCAAAGCACTTTCTTTTCATTTTGCCAAAGCTGTGGCCCGACTCAATGAAGCTCATCTCCACATTTCAAGCACAGATGCTTGGCCACCAGATGACACCAAAGCTCTACTTACTTAAACTTGCCTGAGCACAAAATGCAGCAGTTTCCCAGCGAATAAAAGAATAAATCTCGTAGGGTTGCAATACTGCTTCTTCCGCCTAAAACAAAATGACACAGTGAGCAAACGAGGTCTCTCCTCCGTGTCAGATCATCGCCGCCGAGGGCGAGATGAAGGCGTCGCGCGCCCTGAAGGAGGCCTCGCTGGTCATCGCCGAGGCTCCGTCCGCCCTGCAGCTGCGCTACCTGCAGACGCTCAACAGCATCGCCGCCGAGAAGAACTCCACCATCGTCTTCCCGCTTCCCATCGACCTGCTGCAGAGCTTCATGACGAGGAAGTGAGGCACTTTGCCGTTTCAGGCAATGTTAAATGGGGGCCCTCGATTGAGCACCAGGCGGGGGTTTCTTCTAATTTCGAAAAACAAATCGGCTCTTTAGGGGTCTTACTTAAAACGCCCGGAGTTTACGAGCCTGCGTATCCTGATACAAATGTAAGCATTCTCCTAAATGACAACTTGGAAAGTTTTTTTTTTTTTTTAAATAGCTACTCACATCAGGTTCATCTAAAAAGTCTCAAAGACCCAACCTCTGAATTGAACAGGAAGTCAGCCATTTTGGTTTGAAGGCACTGAAAATTTTTTTTTTTTTTTTTTTTTTTTAATAACCTTTGATTGTGTCATGGCCAAATTGAATTTTCACTCATTAAAAGCACCCTGGAAAGTTTCGAGATGAGGGCCTCCTGATTTTTTTTTTTAATAACGTTGGATTGTGTCATGGCCAATTTATATTTTCACTCATTAAAGCACCCTGGAAAGTTAGGGGGGAAACATGAGGGCCTACTGCCAGTTTCACTGACCAACGTAATTGGGCAGACTCGTCTTTCATAGCAGGACGCACACAAAAAAAAAAGACTCAAGGGCTGGAAATTGAAGTCAGCCATCCAGTACATTTTGAGGAACCCCGAATATACGTACGCACATTTTGACCTTTGTCGAGGCCCACAAATCGATGATGCACCTTGCCTGTGCGATTAATTCAAATTCCAAATGGTTACAATGAACCATCGTTACAACGTACAGATTCATTTTGTCACTCAAGGTACATTGTGACGAGGGTCGACCGTAGCTGCTAATTCTCGCATAAGCATCGTATCTTTCGTAAGTGCGCAAAATAGCACCTTGATGGCTTTTCAAATTCAAAAACTTTGAACAGACAATAAAAAGCACTTATGAAGCATGTGATTATATTATCCGCTAGGAGGCATATTTATACGCTAGCCGGGCTTTGAATTGATATGATGCAGTGTTTTATGTATTTCATAGTGTAGAAAATATAAATGAATGTGTATTAAAAGGGTGATCCAGACTTGGTGGTTTCCCGTTGTGATTTAATACTAGAGTACAAAGAGCAAAACGTGTAACAGTGGCGACAACACGCAACGTTGCAAACTGCCAAGCTCACACTTCACAGTTTGGCTGGACGAGCAAAGAAAACGACAAAGACACATGGCGTGTTTGACCGAAGAAATATAAATCACAAAAAAAAACAAAAAAAAAACGCACAGAGACATGCTTTCCACGCGACGAATCCTTCAATACAATCTTAAGAAATGTAAACAAAGACGGAAACAAATCGAGGCTGTCAGTGATGACGGACGAGGAGCTTTGGCAAGATTATTCGGACCACGCTGAGAAAGGGACAATCGTCAATTCAATATTACGACTCGTTTCAAAAAAGCGATTTTTTTTTCTAATACTTTTGCAGTGTTACTCTTGCAAAATTCCGACTTTATTCTTTATTTTTTTCTGGTCCAAGTTCAACCATTTTCATCGTATTTATCTATTTTTTTTTCTTTTCAGCGTGGTCCTCATATATCTTTGGAGCACAAAGCTGCTCAAAACCAAACATTTTTTTCTTTTTTTGATATATCATTTCTTTTTTTCCCCCCAAAGTCTACAACCCTATTGTAATGGATAAAAGTCTCTAACCTATTTTCATATAGTCATTCTTTAAAATATTCATTCAAATTATTTGATACAAAATGACTGTGGAAAAAAACTGAAGGGGAAAGAAAAGCTTTTAAATTTCTTGCCTGCGTACTTTTTGAGCCAATTTTATTTTAAAATATTTTTGTCTCTGAACAAAAAGACAAAACAGCCAATTTGGCTGCCTACATTCCAGGTTTATGCCCGTTCAATATTAGTCTCCAGGACGGAGAAAGATACTAAGTTCCATTTGCTGTTCTGCGATGAGCAGCACAAATTTCTTGGCTTTGTCACTTTGGGCGACGGTTTCTCAGGTCAAAATGCAACAAAACATTAAAAATACCCGTGTTCCTGTGGACATGAGAATGTGGACCTCGACTGAAGAATCCCTGGTTCGATTCCCGTGGTTGACATGGGGATACGGCCCTTGAGCAAGGCACCCCATCCCGCCATTCGTTTTCTATCCTGTTGGCCCTCATTCGGGTCCAAGTGAGTCGGACTCAATGCTCGCTGAATCCGTGGTAACTGAGGGGCTTTACAGGGCTGAAATTGATGCCGCAAGATGGCGGCAAGAGAAATGAAGCTCCTCAACTCACTTCAATGGTTCCTTGGCACCAAGGTGCCACCAAATGGAAGCTGCCCAGTTCGCCCTCGATTGTTAATAATGCTTCGTTAAAAAGCAACGTTTGGTCCTTGGAGGAGGCTGCTGGTGGAAGAAAACGGACGGCAAAGCTTGCATCATTCAGTACGCCCGTCGTCCGTCGCGTTGGGATGACAAATAAAGGCAAAATGGACAATGTCAGCATGTCCTTTGTTCAAGTTCCTGCCTGTCTTAAAAAAAAAAAAAGAATCGAGAGCACTCCTGAGTGTAACTTGCAGGAGGTGTGGAGGTTGTGTCGGTCACTGGTGGTAGGAGCTCGGGCGGGCGGGCGAGCCGGGCAGAGAGGGCGACCGGTGGACGGGCGAGCCGCTCGGAGACATGCGAGGGCTGAGCTCGCCCGTCTGCAGACGCCACAGCAGCTCCTCGTTGGTGCGGCTCAGACGCTTCTTTTCCGTGCTCTCCTTCTCCACATGCACCTGCAGGTTGGCGTTCTCCTCCGACAGTTGCCTGCCCACGCGCGCAAGACGTTAGCGTGAGCGCGCGCGGCAAACGAGGAATTCGCAAAGCCATGGCTTCCTTTAAGTTTAGTTTGTTTTAGTATTAGTTTTAGTTTTTTTTTAAAAATATTTTTTAATATATGAGGTACAGTATTTATCAAGTGCACAATTAAAAAAAAACAACAAAAAAAAACAAAAAAGTTTTGTACCTGGACACAGCGAGGTTCTTGTCGATGCGTTCTTTCAGGTCCTCGTTCTGCTGCTGCAACACTTGCACTCGTTCCTCCAGGTGAACGTTCTTTTCAGCCTGCTCAAAGACACATGGCCAGAGCGTGCGCAACTTTAAATTCTTCAAAGGAAAACATGTACCTATCACGGAATAAATCACCAACAGGAAAAACGGTTCATTTTGTGGTGAAAGCAATTCGGAAAATTCAAATCTTACTATTTTCTCCAGCTCGGTAATCTTCAAGTCCTGCTGATGGATTTGTTGGTTCTTCATCTCCAGAACCTCCTTCAGGCTCTTCAGGTCCTCTTCGATGTGTTTGTAAGGCGCCAAAGCGTCCTGCAAACACCACATCGGCCTTCACCCAAAGCAGACCTCCGCCAAGGCCATTTTACTGGAAACCAGTTGATTTTTCTCTCACCACTATCTGGTCATCGGTGCTCTTGCGGAGGGCTTCCTCGAAGCGCTTGGCTCGGTCCCTCAGGCTCCTGTTCTGGAAGGTCAGCATGTCCACCTGATCCTAGATCAGCAAACGCAACCACGGACCTCATATTTCAGTAGACAGGTCGAGAGAGCACCTTGGGTTTTGAAAGGTACATCAACCCGGCCGCAATACTAAAACCTTTTCATTATGTTTGGAAACGTTAGCCGCCAGGGTGATTCCAGGTAGAAGAGGAGCGAGTGACTGCTACAGGTAAGTGTTATTGCGTAAGAAGTTGCGTAAGGCAGAAAAATGAAAATCACTTCATGTAGTTCAGTCGTTTACTTGCGCTCGAGCTGCCACATCCAACATGGCAACGTGTCGATCTGATGTTTGTAGCTTTCACCTGTAAGGAGAGTCTGATCTTCTCAAACTCCTCCTCCAGAGACTTCCTCTGCTGCTCGTGGGCCATCTTCAGATCTGACACAGCACACGTAAGATCAGATTGCTTTTCGTTTTGTGTCGGATGCCTTTGGGTCCTACTTTTCACGGTCCGGTCGTGCTCCTCCCGCAGGGTGGCCAGCGTGTCGTTGTGAGTCGCCTCCATCTCCACCAGGGAGGCCTCGTGGTTCTCATTCATCTCCGCCATCTGTTGCGAGGATGGCAGAGAATGAAATCCTCATCCGTGCGATATATTAGGACCCAGGGGTGTGCGGAAGGCGGGTACCCAGCAGAGGGGCGGGGTTAGTTTTGAGTGACTGGCAAGAGACAGGTTCAAACAGTGCTTTTCATTCATTTTTTTGCCACGTCACCCCCAGGAAGAGGAAACTATTTCACGACCCCCCCATCAACTCTCCTCCCCAACTATAAATGCTCTCGAAAATTGTTAGTGATGCACCTCTTACAATGAGATTGCCACTGCCACCTACTGTAGTGGATGTGCAATTACACGTTATTCTTGCACGGGGCAAAAAAAAAAAAAAAGTTCCCCGAAGACAGCCTCGAGTGTCGTCACCTGTTCCCGTTGCTGCAGTTTGAGGTCGTCCAATTGGGCGCGCTGGAGGGCCCGCAGGCCGCGCGTGTCGGCCGAGTGGCGCGCCCTCAGCCGCTCCTCCAGCGCTCCCAGCTGGACCCGCTGCTCGGCCCGCAGGCCCCTGAGCTCCTCCTCGAAACGCCGCTCCAGCTCCTGCTTCTCGCGCTGCAGCTGCTCCCAGTGGGACACGCTGAAAGCTAGAGTCACACGTCACACGTCACTCAGCATCTCACTCGACCCACCAAAGTCAGAACTTTTGAATCACACTTCTGCAAGATGAAAAATGGAGGTAGCCCACTCTCGAACTCGCCGGCTCAAATGTACGGCGCAAAACAAATTGGCACAATGAGTTGGATTTTGTTGAACAATGGTGATCATATTCAAAATAGCTCGGATCACAATTGAGCAAATGCAACCAAAACAAATCCGCTGCTGTTTTAATGCAAAGGCCAATTTCGCATCTTGAATCCAGCTATTAAAAAAAAAAAAACGCTACAAAGCAGGTGATCAGGTTAAAAAAATGCTAACAAGCAAGGTGAAAGGGAAGTAAGACATTTGTCAAAGCGGTGGCGCTAATCTCAATAGCTAAAAGGGAGCATCATAAATAACAATATTCAAGAATATACGATGGACGGAGAATGTGAAGGTAGTTTCAAACGAAATCAATGATGACGGCAAGGTAGCAGATAGCGAGTATATGGCATGTTTGTCACTTACCCACTTCATCCCTGATCCTGGCGAGCTCCTGGGACAGTTCCCCTTCTCTCACCGCTGCGCTCTCGCTCTGCAACACGGCACCGGCGTTAGGTTTTGCTTGAGTTATTCAGGATTCAAAGTGAAATCATGCTCCGGACATTTTCAAATCCATCTTATGACCTCATAGGGGCTATTTGGGTTTCTTACTCATCATCACTGAAGCACAGATCCCCGCCCCGCCCCCACCCCGGCGGTCCCGCCCTCCGCTCTCTGGAGAGTCACGTGACCTTTGTCACGATCCTCCCCGCCCGTCCTCGCTATGGCAACATCATCCTTTGACAAGGCCACTATTGATTTCTTTACGAGTGACCGAATGACACCTTGGAAGGACTCCGTCCGTGCTCGACAATGCGGATCACGTGCGCACTAAAATAAAGCACTTCTAATACATGCCATATTCAATTATATTGCCTTGCCGGCGACAACGGTGGGCAGAAATACCCAAATCATACAATTTCTTCCTTTGCAAAGAGTATACACAGTGGCCACCCCTCCCTACTCCATCCCAACTATGCCATCCATCCTACACGCACGCGCATTGTTTTCCCTCAATTTTTACCTCACACAAACACAAAGATTTGCAAAGTGTTTCCAATCCAATTTGCCAAACAGGAGGGTTATGGTCAGGCAGCATCTCGGCCCGGGACAGAAAAAGAGACTGGAGCGACTGGTCAGGAGGGCCAGTTCTGTCCTGGGCTGCTCCCTAGACACTCTGGAGGAGGTGGGCAACAGGAGGATGCTAGCTAAGCTAAA